GAGGAGATGTGTAAAATATCGCAATCATAATTTGTGTTTATATTCCAACACTAACAACTGCAGTAAGGCATTTGATCTTTTAAGGGACAATGGGGATGTCAAACTAAGAGAAGGTAATTAATCTGATTGAAAAGGCAAGTAACAAATAAGGTCAGATTGTTAATTTAATTTGTGGTTGTTGTCGTCGGTCGTTGTTGTTGTTGTCGTCGGTCGTTGTTGTTTTTTTTTTTTTTTTGTCGTTTGTTGTAGTTTTTGTCGTTGTTGTTGTTGTTGTTGTTGTTGTTGTTGTTGTTGTTGTTGTCGTCGTCGTCGTCGTCGTCGTCGTTGTTGTTGTTGTTGTAATCTGTAACGCCTTATAATACACTTACGTTTGTATTATTGGTGTTCTGTGACAGCTTTCAATCACAAAAAGAATTAACAAGTTTGATCATATAAAACCAGGCATGCATCGAGATAATTTTGTATGTATCCAACAAATCATAACTTATAAAGGAAAAACAGAAAAACAAAATGGTAAGGGGTTGATTTCTGTTATCAATTGTGTAATGTCTGCTTTTAATTATCACATGCAAATATGCAAGCAGACCTCCACGAACACTCCGTCACGTGATCTTCAGTTGCAGGGGAAAGTCAATATCTATTATCTAACTTTTGCCTTAATAATTCGATTGTCAGATAATCATAAGGTCAAGTTAAGTGTGTTGTATTTCGATCAAATTAACATTTCTCCTACAATGTCAACGGAAAATGAGGGATTATATAATTTGTGTTTATTTATATACAGCCTCCATGAATCACAAATATATTAACGACATAAATCAATATTAATCCGATATACAAGCATAACCTGGTGATTTTGAACGTCTTTAGTTGACATTTACACCAGTGAAATATATCCGTGAACCATCTAGATCTTCATAAAGTATAATACTAATTGTATAACTAATGTAATATATCTTATTGATGTTATTATTATGTTTCAAACTCCTAGCAGGCTCAGTTGACTAACAAACACTGAGATAACCACACGAGTATTGATTTTTGATCACGTTATATAACTATATATAGAATATCGTTATCAGTGCCTTATCAGCACTTGAGTGGTACACAACGACGAAATCCTTTATATCTTCATTCAGATTCATTTTATGCAAAAATCGATGAAATCTTGGCCAAAGATCTAAAAATTCATTGATCAATATATTTCTTGACCAAAATGAGTGTTGAATAAAACTCGGTCATAGAGCCATGCAAATTACACAGGTGCTAGTCATAAATGATTCAAATCTACTAAATAAAAGAATATGTTGAACGACCCAATGACTCGATGAAAAGTATATTTCAGTTAATCAGTCAACATAATCATAATCCAATCTCAAATTTGATAATACTGGGGCAAAATATGAACAAAGGATTATTTAAAGATGACTCCTGAAACATTACCAGGTGGATAAGACCTGTTCCGGAAGAGCAAGCGTCTTCAGCTTTTATCGAGGACACTCGCCAATCCAAGTAAGTAATGACACGTTCCCAGATGAGAACAATGTATACAACAACGGAACCAACAGGGAAACTAACGGGCATCAAACACATCTGGCACAAATCAATCGAATATTACTCAATGAAATCACTATGATGATAGTAAAATCTACCCATGATTTTCAACAAGCTAAGTCTTTTGAAACCTTGTGTAACGTGTTTGTCTGTCAGTTGACGTTTTCTTGTACTAAATGGAAATAGCCAAGCATGTTTTAATAAAAATTACGGAAATACTTATTTACCGCTTTGTCAAGCTAACAAAAATAGGATTATAAACAGAATAATATTGATTATACACTTATATATTAAATAAGAAGTCAATAGATAATTTAAATGTGAACCCAAATGAAAGCAATACCATTACTATCTTCACATATTTTTCAATTTTTGTTAAATATGTTAGAATAACAAAGCAAATGCGCTCTACATATATTCCTTGTTATTCGAACGTGTTATTATGTATTTTCTTGTTTAATGCCTTGTCAGTGCATTAAGGTTATTTAAGGAGCGTGCCTATGTGGATCGACTCTTTAAATTGGAACTTTTCTACCGCTGTCATCAACTTTTTCCACATTGATATTTTAATGTATCGAATGGCACAGAAGTGCTTAAATTTTAAGTGATTTCTATGCTATGTATAACACATATACATTTGAATATTTACAATATTAATTATTGTGGTAATGTAAATTCAGGACAATTCTGTTTCAGTAATGTGAAGGTTTGTCCATCTGTTGTTTTACATTTGTTGCGATTGGTCGCTTTCCGATAACGCCCCCTAGATTTCAGGGGTGTCGGTCCCTGGTATCACTAACTGGCTGTAGAAGGACGAAACCGCTGTATGAAATAGACTTATTCACTTATTCACCCTACTTATTTGTACTGACGAATGCTATTCATGTGTGTGTCTTTGATACTATAAGAACTCTTTGATACCATAGGGACATTTTGAATAACACATAAGACATGCTTCCACCCGGACTACCACAAGAACTACACATGAACTGATAGTTATTGTTTCAAAGGATAAGGTACGTTTTCGGCCATATTTGATCCCAATTTGGACTTCATTTATTTTTCTGCCTCAATTACTTGGTAAATTTCCTTTAAGGAACAAACATGGAGTTGAATGCTTAACAACGGACAAAGCATCCTTCTTATGTGTCAAAATATATGTGTAGTGCATTCCTTCTCTAGTAATTCTTTTTTAGTAATCATATTTCAGTACAAATTTAGAATACGATACAACAGAGATAGATGATAAAGTAAACTGAAGCATACAGCTAATTCGTCCTTCTAGGAGACACAAGATTCAAAATCAAGAAAATTTATATGTGAATGATTTTTGAAAATGTAATAACATCGAGCGTTGCAAATAGGCAGTCGTCTTATGTTTCATTGGTGAAAGTTATTGTGTAAATTGTTGCTTTATTGAATGGATGAAAGGTCACCCAATTTCATCCACTACACAAATAACCTTCAACCTCACCTCTTGTAAATACCTTAATTGACCAAAGATGTACATATTTATCTTAACACAGGGATGACCCCATGTATTAAAGGGTTTTTGTGTGTCTCTGATTCTAAAATGTCAAAATATTTCGACATTTATCTTGACCAATAAACTAGGCGTGGGAGTGACCTGGGCTTCATAGGATTACTCTGTCCACTGACATTATTTATATCGGAAAAACTTTGTCCACACATGGAGGTGCCACCTATGATACGACAGGGGTGATAGGTATGTTTGCTTAAAGGGGAACATCCCAGGTCATCGATCATTTAAAACAAACATTTAGTTAACCCAGACATATTTATTTTAGAATACCATAGTCTCTAGAAAAATAGACTAGATCTCAGCATTAGTTGATTTATATATATATAACTATATAAAATTTCCTAAGCGATTCTTAAGTGTATGTAAATAAGCCTCAATTTTCGTTTTAAGTTAAAAGTCATAACTTTAGCTATAATATAATGTCATGGTAGTATAATATATATATGAAGTTAACAGCTCATTAGGCATTTTTTCTATACAATTTTTGGAAACATTTCTTTTAAGATTTATTGATTTGATTGTTGTTCCTTTCCAATTATTTTAAGCCTTGGTGATTCATGTACTCTATTTTTTGCAAAAGTTTAACACGTTAAATGGAATTCCTGAGTTTTTTTCTTAAACCAGTAAATACTTTGTGATTAGTCCGATTTACAAAACAGATACTACATTGTAGTTTTGTTTAATTCTTTAACGACCTCACCTTTATTAAATTTTAATCGGAATTCAAATATCTTTGAATCCCATTCAGTTTATCACATTGGACAGAATTTAAAGTTATTATCACTTAAAGATCTTACAGAAAGATCGAAAGATTCGATGACAATCCTTTTTCGGGAGATTCCGGCTCAAGATTACAGATATTGAGGTCAAGTAAAAGTTTGAAGCTCGTGCGACATGATTGATAGGTATTGTGAAATAGAGCTGACAGGAACTTTATACTTGAACGTTTGTAATGACGCGATAAGTCACGTAAATATTGAAGGTATGTGAATATAGCCTTTAAATAGGACAGAATTACTACCACAGTGACTTAGTCATACCTATATGTTCCTCTACACATGTATTAGTATAAAATTATTTAGATTAATCAATTTAAATTTATCTACTTTAATATGTTTGACCTATATTATCCAAAAAATATTATTATGGACGCGTTTTCTTAGAACACCTCGCAACACAAGGTTTCCATAGATTTTAGGGAGGCTTTATAGTCGTCGTAATTACCTCATTGGGAAATCTTCTATTTTGGTACTCGTGGTTCCGTTGTTGTTCATCGTGTTCTCATGTTGGAACATGACATTACTAACTTATATTGACAAACATTTACATGAAGAGTGTCGTCAATGAATCAGAAGACACATCCTATTACACCTGGTCTTGTTTTCTGTGTACTTTTAGTGGCGTCTCTGTACAACTCTTTCTTTTGTTCGTGTTTTGCCTTATGAAATGAATTATGATTAAGTTGACATGCTGGTCTTTTTATTTTCTGATTTCTGCATATCCGATGCATATCATTTCTGCACATTGTTTATCTGCGGGACACGTGTCACATGATAATTTTTTTAATGGTTCATGGTGTATTGTGTAAGATGTTGATGCTGTGTTGTCATTGTTATCACCAACCTGATCGATTAACCGAGAGAAGCAGACATTACTATATGGTAAAACTGCAGTAGATTTCTCCGTCAATAACGTACAATATTACAGTGTGACATTACATGTGGATATAAATGACATCACTGTATTTACGTCCACTGGACTACTTTCCTAATAAGCAATAGGAATATATCACGTGTCAAAATTATCATAATCCCAACTCCAATTCAATAAAACTAGGGCAAAATATAAACAAAAAGAACGATATACACTAAGACACTGGAACAAATACAAGGAGAATAAAACCATGTATTCCGAAAGGGTAAGCGTATTCTGCTCCAACGAAAACACACGTCATATAAGTATAGGTTAATCCAATTAAGCAATGTCAAGTGAAATTAAGGTATACAAGAATGGAACAAACAGGGAAACTAATGAGAACTAAAACGTCCTGGTTCATATAGCATTGTACAATTCCTTAATGTGTTAACAAGTAAGAAAGAACTACATGAATATAAACGATATGTATATCTATTGAGAAGAAGTCAAGCCGTCCTTTCATTAGTATGGTAATCATTGTAAATGCTGTTTGTTCATATCGGTGTAATAGTTTTAACATTCATATTTTTCGTGATAAATCAAACTATTTTTTTGTAAATCGATAGGAAAATGAATTTGAATATTTGTTATGTTTCTATTTCTGAAGCATTGAGGTTGAGGCAATTTCAATGTACATGTATATCATTAAGAAATCGCATTCGTTTGCATCAGGTAATTAAGAGTCAGAAAATTATTCCCTTGTTCCTTGAGTAAAAGCGTTAGAGAATTACATATCTCGATATATAATTAATGGATAATAGTTGTATGATGTATAATTAATGGATAATAGTTGTATGATATATAATTAATGGATAATAGTTGTATGATCTATAGTTAATGGATAATAGTTGTATGATCTATAATTAATGGATAATAGTTGTATGATATATAATTAATGGATAATAGTTGTATGATCTATAGTTAATGGATAATAGTTGTATGATATATAAGGTATCATCTGTATTTCTTGTTTATTTCAGGTACAACACGTCATAATGCTGAAAAATGGTGTTTTGGTTTTGGTGCTGGTAGTATATTTATTCTCCGTCTGCAATGCCATGACAATTGATCCAGGTAAGAATTTCACATGAATATGTATGGAAGATTGTACAAAAGACATACAGGTGATTTATAATGTGTGCTATATCTACATGTTTTTTATTGGGTTTTTTTTTTTTTTTGGGGGGGGGGGGGTTATATTCCTAATTCTTTTTCATCTTTTTTATGTAAAAAATCAAGTATGACTTCGTTTTCATTGTATTAACTTTCTGTGTTATTGTTGTTATGAATTCATACCATCATAAATAGCGTTTATGGTTGCCAGTTAAAGAGTCATTAGTTTCAGTTCTTCTGACACACCTGGCCTGACTCTCTTTTTAAGGAGTCCCCATGTCAATCTTTCGTTCATAGTGTGCCTGGTTTTATTGATAATGAGTTTGAATTTAGATTCTGTTGACATAACGGTAATTTTGGTCCAATTAATTACGAAATATGATTTTTATGGCACAAACTGAAGGTTTATATCAAATGCAACAGTAACTTCATTGTACTAACAAATAAAGGTATTGGAGTTAGTACAAACACTAGATATATTCACTATAAGTTCACAACTGAATTATGTTATTGTAATGGATCGCTTTAACTATTTATTACAGAATTCGCTATGTGCTACAGTGTGTGCCCAACCACTACTGCTTCGACAACAACCACTACTACACCAGCTCCTACACAAACTTCCTCAACCGCTACTACACCAGCTCCTACACAAACTTCCTCAACCGCTACTACACCAGCTCCTACACAAACTTCCTCAACTACTACTACACCAACTCCTACACAAACTACCTCAACCACTGCTACATCAGTTCCTACAAAACTTACCACTTCATCGACACATACACCAACCACAACCACTATTTCAACTCAAACACAGTCTAACACAACCACTTTGATGACGTATGTGCCTACTGCAACAACCATCTCTTCGGGACAATCTTCCAAATTTACTCCATCAACGCAACCTACCATATCGACAGCTGCTGAAACAACTCCGACTAATACAGCTATTAATACAACAATGGTGTCATCTATTTCCCTCACTACTGTAAACGTATCGATGACTACCATTAATGAATCAAACAATGCAAAAACAATGACGCCAACTATAAAAACTACCGAAACAGCAGCTGCACACACATCCAGGAATACTCATACTCCATCTTTAACAACTTTGGATCCATCTCAAACCACAGTTTATCAAAGTACCAAGGTAAATACAACTTCAGATAAAACGAAAAGCTCGTCTGCTACGTTATCTACAACACCTGTAACAAACAAAACAGAAAAAATGAACACGACATCATCTATTCTGGATACTAAGTCCACTCTTCCAATGTCTAATGGTAACCCTAGAGATAACACCACAACGAGTAATATGACAACAAAAACGGTTTCCTATCGATCAACAACATTACCCGAGGACAAATCATCAACCCCGTCTGTAATATCTACTGATGAATCATCTACAACGACTCCGGAGTTAACAAATGTACCAATTAGTACAGAAGAGAAGAGGGAAATATCTACAGCTGTATCAAATAGTGGATCAACGTCTACTACAGAAGATTCATCACCGAAAACAATTACAACAACTCAAAATCAGACAAATAGTTCCCAAACTATCACTTCTACCACTAAAACACAAACAAACAAAACAACAACTGCAGCAACAACAGCAACAAAGACAATGGAATCGACAACTGTTGTGACGACATCAGATGCAACAAGCATGAAAGTCGACCAAACAACAAACGGTTCCTCAGATAACTCAACAAACGATAAAGTAAGCACACCAAAATCATCGATATCGGGTGACGCGACAAGGAGCACTTCAGCAATGACCTATACATCAACTACATCAATAAAAACAACGTCTTTTACCGAGTCAACGACAACATCGAGAACTGTTCCTGATTCCTCAGTTGATCCAAACGGAGGCATGACAACAGCAAACATGACATCCGGGTTATTCACAACAGAAGCGACAACTAATCCATCGTCAATTTCATCCACATCCACAGATGCAATGACAACATCGATATCTACAACTAAAATCCCGGTTACATCCAACACTACAAGTCCTGTAACAAATACCACGGTCACAACACATTCCAAAGATACTCCATTCGTTTCAACAACAACAGTACCGTCAACATCACTCGCATCCACAGTAAGAGTGCCATCCGTGAACACAACACCATTAAAATCAACAACGACAACAAGAACACCAATAACAGATTTGACCTCTACGGCTAATTCAACAATAGTGACGCCAAGTAAAGAATACTTATCTACATCCGTAACATCTCCCAGAACACCAGGCGTTGTGTCCAACCCATCATCCACTAACGCACTCTCAAATACACCAACTCTGACTAGCTCATCCGTATCCGCAACAGATACATCAACGAATACTCCATTTGCTTCTTCAGCAACTAAATCTGAAGGAAGTACGGGAGTAACTTCAAATACCACATTTTCGTTCTTGACTACGAATTTAAATACAAGTGAGATAATTTCAACAACTACAGCATCTACTTTAGATATGACTAAATCAAGTCCGACGAATTCTAATATAACGTCCGCAACACTCTCATCAACTGCTTATACTACTGATACATACAATAACACTGCAATTAATAAAGTTACGACTTCAACAGCGCTCAACACATCAACATCATTGTCTTCAACAACTAAAGATGCGTTCACAACAGCCACAACTACAACCTCACCAACTCCGACAACAACAACAACGCCATCCACAACAACTATAGACTGCATAGCAGTTTGTCGAGCCTGGGGAAGAACGCCTATCTTAACGTCATCTTCACTTGTGACGTCATCGTCATTACCATCGTCATCAGTGACGGCGTCTCCGTCACCGTATGACAATGTGGAACCTCAATGGAGTAAGTTCGTACAATCAACAGGAAAACGACCATTCAGATTTTTATTTCAAACTTAACATATATCACATCGAAAATAATACTTTAACCTCATAATAAACGAAAACATTAATTTTTCAAATTCTTAGTTAAAACACGAAAAATAAATTAACTTATTCAAAATCATGATTATATCGTGATGAATAACATAAACGTGTATATAACAATAATATTAGTCTTCCGAAATTTTAAAGAACATATGACAAGCCTGGATATTACATTAAACCAATAACTCAACTTTTTATCAGACTACACGTTTCTAGATTCAACACTTTGATATTTGTCCTTTTTGTGTATTATTTACGCCTCAATGATTGCTTAATAAAACCAAACTTCTCTTCTCTTTCAGCAATAGCTGTTTTCCCGTTACATTTTACAATTTCCTTTAACGTTCCTTGGAGTTCAAGCTATGACGTAACAACATCAAAGGTTTATTTAAGCATATCGAACAAAATCCTAATCTTTGTAAGTAATTTTATACCAGTTCAGTTATATATAGGTCCTCATTACCATAATGCAACGATCTATGTTGTATATCTATAAGCTTATATAAGATGTCAATAACAACAATATACATATCTTACTGTAATGTCATCTACGATCACAGAATATCACCCAGATAAAAGAAATCGTGTTAAAATTTTAAAATAGCTACTTATTGAACGATACGTAAATTTGTATGTATTTTATCAATTTTTCAGTTAGAGTCTGTTTACATTCACATCCCTGGCCTTCGTAGTTCGACAGTTATTGATTTAAGGTAAGGTATTTATGATTTATTAAAGCTTTATCATGGGAACAGCATATTCTAAAGAAGGGAATGTCGTTATATATTCAGTATCTGTCATAGATCCAGATAGAATGTCTTCAGTAATAATGAGGTGATTAAAAACATGTTGGAGAAAGGAAATTAAGGAAACCGAAATTAGGTTTCAACAAATGATAATTCACTGAACAATTTGATAATCATGGTCCTAGTTTGGATATGGTTGACATGGTACAAAGCAAAAATGAATGCTCTTACTTTGCGCGCCCTTCTCTGTAGGAAAATTACTCAGGTACATGGAACAGAATACTACCAGAACATACCGTCGAGATTAAAAACAAAACTCTTATTATGGAAAACGACGTTTTAAAGCATGATTTTAATCAATATTAGAGAGATGTTTTCTTCTGAAATGGTCAGTGCAGTATTCCTTTCAAATACTCAAAGTGAAACCGCAATTACAGAGATACTGAAAATATCTTCTATGTATGTTACATGCATCTAATAAGGCAAAGAAGCATGGAAATACATTTATCTTCTTTTCTGTCAATAAACGCAATTGTCTAAGTCCTGTATTCGTTACATATTTATCAACTCAACTTTGTTTCTTATTGAAAGTTTGTCCACTGGAGCAATACCAGTATGAATCCAGAGTATTTCTTAAATTGATCATTTAAATTTTAAATTATGTTTTTTTATTAACAGGCGCGGAAGTGTTGTGTGTACCTACTCGCTCAGTGTATCAGCCTCACTGTATCGAACCCCTGGTGCCTACAACCTCACTATGGAAAAGATAAATGATGCCCAAGAACAAATGGAATCAATGCGGCTTGCAGCCAACATTGGGGAGCTTAGTGTGAACTATATCAAAAACCAAAGAGGAATGGAATTTGCCCAAGGTTGGTAACAAATCGTGAATTATCAAATTTTAGTGACCTTTAAAAATAGCCAAAATTTGTCATTATTATATACTGACGTCATCACTATGAAAAATTCTAAATATCATCATCACAAACTCTCTTCAAATCTACTTTAAATGAATAGATAAACAGATAAATGGTAAATCAATAGCTGTCAAATCAGTAGCTTTATAATTTTCATAATGTATATATCATAATAATATGAGTTTGACCTTGAAAGAAGGACATTTTCCTCTTCAACTTCTCCAACGTTTAATTCGCTGCCAGCTTGTTACTTTAATTTGTTTTAATTCTTTATCATACTTAAAAAAAATTAGAATATTGTGGTGAAAATTTAAATAAAATTTTAACTAAATGTTATTGATTTATTAAGTATATTCTATGTTTTTTATCGGATATAATTAATTATTCAATATAGTTTGACTTTGCATTACATTACAGCCCTAGAGGACTCCCGATCGCCTTGTAATGCTACAAATATATGCCCGTTAGGTTACACGTGCCTTTACACGTCCGGAGAGACTACGTGTGTACACATGTGTAAGAACGATAACCCATGTCACAACGGAGGCACGTGTTATGTAAATGAACAGAGCAAGGTTGGATGCAAGTAAGATATCTTATCTTTCATATCAATTCCTAAATCAATCAGATATTTTTGAACACAGATTGTTTTATATATGATTTGAATATTTTGTATAAATATAAACTTTTGATGTCATCATAATTGTAAATTACGATTCAAAATGAAATATTGAAGGAAAATATCAATTAACGCTTGTTTTGTGAGATCTCCTAGCCCGGAAAAAATAAAATAATCAAATTTGATAAAGATAGTCACACTGTAGAAATATAACTATGGATTGATATATCTTTCACAAATCATTATGCATTTAGAATTTAGAAAATTTAATAGTTTAAAGAGTTTGTTTTGTTTAACGAAACCATTATGCTGTTTTTCGTTCATTTTCAGATGTAAGCCTAATGCAGACCTGGTATATTTTGGAGATTATTGTGAAAGTTCCGATGAACGGCTAGCATTAGAATCAAAATACATTATAACAATTGCCTGTGTATCGGGCGCTGTGCTCATACTACTTCTGGTATTTATCAGCTGTTTATGTATTCAGAAAAGACCATTCGACAGAGGAGAATATAGTTTTCAGTAAGTATATAATGGAATAAAAATTAATTGATTTAAAACGAAATAAACTATATGAGAGATTTTTTAATATAGTAATTTTAGCAACCATTACTGAAAATATTACCAGCATTTACTGCATGCAATAAAGCCATAGAAAGCAATGTAGACAAGTATGTAATGTAGGAAACCAAAAATCATTTCAAAGGAGAAAAAGACATTTCTACAAAAACATTATTTCCAGACTTTTAAACATTAAACTTTTGGCTAAATATTTAAGATATAAACGTTAACGTGCACTTGTTACATACAGGTATAAATGATATCGTGTCAGCAAACCAACATCAAAAGGAACGGAATTGTTTTAGAAAATTGCTTACTTATTTGAACAAAATTTCAATTAACCAAATTGGTATGTAATAGATAACTTTCCCCTCAACAACAATAACTTTTGAGAATTATGTGGACACAGCCTGATATCAAATCACAAACATGTCGTTTTTGTTTGGTTAAACGTTACAAAAGTGATTTTATTCCAAGGTAGATAATCCATTATGATTTTTTACAGAGAGTTTAACGACGCATACTACTACAGATCGACTAAAGATGATGTAGATACTATACACAAGTTATATGCTGTAGATAACAGGGCTTACGACCACACCTCTCTCGATACCTAGAACAGCTAAAGAAAGTAAGCATTCAACCTAATACTTTATCTCTTTGTTTTAAGTTTGGTCATACAGGATGTTCCCAAGTTATGGAAAGGTGTGTATTTCAAAAATAACTATTCAAAGTCGTTAGTTATCTCTATTATGGCCTTTAATAGAAAAGAAAATTCTATGGCATTAAATTATAACAGATAAAACACTTTCCTGCCGAAAGTACGACAAGAATTCCTGATTATCAACATGACAGCCCACGTCTCAACTAACTTAATCAAAGAAGCATGATCTGTCAGCAGACCGTATTTAACATCTCTTTGTAAAGTCCACGCTCTTCAGCGGGCGATATATCTTAATGATAAGTATCTACGCTCCTTGTTATGTCAGCTGTTTCAACATTGTGATTGATGGATTGAACAAAGGGGAAAGGTCTAGAGATTTCTAAATAATCTAAATATTGATTCAAATAAGTACATTCATGTTTGATTAGTATGTCACTAATGAGGAGTCTGGTGTATGAGAGGCTCTGTACAATATTTGATTCAGTAAAATTGCCATAACGTCTCCGAGGCTACGTTTTATCTTCACAAACTGTCAATCTATTGGACGGAGGAACAGTATATCTTTCGTACTATACTCTCTGGCATGCTTTAAATTGATTTCCCTGTGATTTCTTAATAAGTTTCTTTACTCCTCTCCACATGACTATATTACAATTATTTCTTCTATCTATTTTCAGATATAACAAAACTACTAAAAAGTACTAAACGCCGTTGTTACCTGCAAACGTTTGGGATCCTGGATTATTCTATTTTATACCACAAGTTACGGACATACAGGGTTTATAAGATAAAGACCACGTTGTTTAATATAAACAATATAATTTTATCGATAAAGTTGACCACTAACAATAATAGCGCCACTGCCTAAAGACTTAACGTCATTATTCGATGCTTGGTATAATATATATAATATATGATATCGTGGATTGACTGGGCAGCTCTGCTTGAAGTTGTTTCTGTTTTTACTGGAAGCATATGTCACAAACTGCTATGTGCCGTCGCAATCATTGGACAAAACACAATTTCCCCGATTTCTTTGAATTGCACTTGAAACTCCTACTTGTTGTTCAGTGAGATATATATAATTACCAGCTTCCACAATGAGATTTTTACCCGAAATAACCACAGCTGTTCACAGGGCGGTGAGATCAGTACATACGTTTCTAAGACACTGTAGCTTTCCTAATTTGGAAGAAAAGAAATTAATTGCTATCATGTCCAGCGATACATACATATATATATATAATTGTTTTTTTTAATCAAGTCAAATCACAAGGTAGTAGATTTGTGGATTTTGTGACTTCAACAGAGTCATCATCGTCACATTCTTCCAATCTCACTTTCGCATTACATAAGAAAAGCGCATTTGAGACATTTTGAGCAAGTAAATTTAGAAAGTATTTCTTTATATTACATAACGAACAAGGAATAACTCTCTAACTTTATTTTGCAAACAAAATGTCGTTTGTCAATTTTTGATATTCATGTTAATGTTTGTATGAAATCGTGTTTTTTTAGAGAATCCTACATCCATGTACAGTTCATACGGGATTCCAGAAACTCGTCGAAATTATCGATTTTGCTCGCCATCATTTTTTTTCTCAATGTATTATTGATAAAACGTGAGATATCGTCCTTGTATGAACAATGTATCTCTAAGGTGAAATAGAAATATAGAATATATATTTCAACTGTATAATGGTGTGTATTCAGTGTGTGCATTCAGTGAAAGAAAATGTATGTTTGTACTGGTGTATGTAATAAACACAAAGTGTACGTTCGTGTATAAGTTTATCATATTAATGTTAAATTAGGATGTCACTGATGAGGAGTCTGATGTATGAGAGATTCTGTGCAATATTTTACACAGTAAAATTGTCATCAAATCTCCAAGTCTACGTTTTGTCTTCACAAACTGTATAACCAGTGGACGGAGGACGGTATATCTGCCGTATTAGACTCGTTGTCATACTTAAAATCGATTTTCCTGTTGACATGACTTTGTTGTATAGAGTTTCCACACATTTACGTGGCTTCCCCAAATTAACAAATCTACCTCTATTTTTAAAGCCTCGCCTGTCCAGCTCCTTTTCGCGTAATGATATTTGATATTGAATGGATGGACAAACACACAAATAAAACTAGTTATTTCATATTGCATTCCAGCGTTTACTTTTGAATTATTTGTATGTATTTGTCAACACCTATTAATCAAACGTGATGTTCACACATTCACCTTCACATCCAATCGTTCGCAATCATTAGATAAAGTATGGGTAAATTACCTTGTTTATGAATGCATTATATCTTCGTGTCCTTTATTTCTGTTGATCTTTGTCTCTCCAGCTGTATACAATCGCGTATCTCCAAATGCTATCTCTTTCTATGTCTTTCTGATTAAGTTGTTCAAACAGGTCGTAATGCAATGAAGATAAGGAAATTCTTACTGGCCGGAAAGACAGTAGAAGACTTTAATGCTGAACATTGCAAAAGGAAAAAAAGTTAAATGAAATTTGGGCAAAACATGGTCAAATGCTAGACTAACACGGAAAACGGTACAAAAAGACCAGGTGTTCCAGAAAAATAAACGCGTCTTGCTTCTTGATCTATCCCAGTAAGGAACGTCGCGTTTTCAAATGAAAAGACATTTAATGACTAAGAAATCACTATGGTTATGAATATATTTCCATTCAAGCTCAGGAGCAGCATATTTATTGTTGTCGTCTTTGTTCTCTTCTCAAAACCATCACTACACATAATAAACATCCGATTAAGTAAAGTATCTCCATAATGTAAGTACTTATACCACGCAGTTAAATAGCAAGGATGGTTTAATATCACCTTTCAAAGGATATTCAGAATTGTTACACTATAATTTAATAATGAAATAAACTACACTTGTTTCGTCCTACAATGACGTAGGCGGTGGCTAAGTTAACCATCTTTACCATTCCATCTTTTTAGGAGATTTACTTTGTGGTTGAGCTATGATTCTGTTCTACTGCTTGAAAAAAAAGAAAATACCAATATATGAACATCATTAAAATCCAAATTCATATTCAATGAAACGTTCGGCAGATAGACCTCATTTGCAGGATATTCTTTTTGCAATTTTGTAATTGATTGGAGCTATCATACTTCAATCAAATACAACTATTTCAGTAGGTTTTCTGCTGGTAAGAATGCACATTTTGTACGTGGTTTGCATTATCACATGTCGTATTAAAGACCTTTTAATCACTCTATTGTGCTACTGTTAGAGTTGTTCTGTTGGAGATTAGTCATTCTGGGCGCCATTTCCAAGGAGGAGTTATAATTTATTTTACTTTTTCTAATTATCATTTTAAAAATAAATTCCCTGATAATGAATATTTCGGAATATTTGCTTCGGGATAGAAATATCAATAAAAGGAAAGTTCTTATCACACAACAGATTCGCTCATTTCTTTCCAAGGCTCTCGAGCTTACCACATCTATGACAACAATAGTTAGCTCGGATATTTCGGGACATTTTCTACTGATAGTGTTACCAAAACTTCTATAACCTTGGTAATGAAATTAATAGAGATCTTAATTGTATGTTTCATGATGCATGTAAACATCATCTGTAACAGTATCTGTTTTACTTTCAGGCTTTTGATAATACCGCGAACATTTGAGCCATCGAAAAAATAGACATTTAAGCTTGGTATCTGACGCAGAAACAGGACGTCGTAGTTCACATTACCGTCATAGATAATATATATTTAATTCAACCATTAAATGGTATGAGGAAAATTTCGCAACATACTGTTAACCCAAGTTTGTCTCTAAGGTCGTAATCATACAGGACAATTTCAAGTAGAGGAACTTTTTCAAAACAATCTTGAGATTATTTGTAAAATGATAACGGAAAATTTGCTATAGCTCTTAAGCTAATGTATATGGCGATCTACTAACTTACAGTGAATTTTCTGTTGGAACTCCTTACTGTAGTACTATCCTGCCCCACCCTTCTGGCTATGACGGGTTATATGAGGAACAATAAGCCTCTTTCACTTGTGTCTGGAGATTTCCTTACCTGGGAAACTGTTGTGGGCTACCAAGCTTCTGTGTTAAGGTAGGAAACGTTTTAGTTATACTTCTTAATTATGTTTTAAATAATTTAAACTTAAATCATATAGTGATTTAAGTTCAATTTATATGTTGAATTAATTTATTACGATTGTTGCAGAACAAATGACGTTAAATACTAGTATATAAGTGACTGTTATACTGTATATATGTGTTTAGTGATTAACTCTCATTAATATTACATATCGTTTAATGCCGTACGTTATTGTGGTTATACGCTTTGAGATTTTTATCATTATTGTTTGTTTTATTATTTACGAAGATATTCCATATCTGTTCTACAAAGAATGTTTACAAAAATGTTAATGGATTTCTGTTTATAGTCTTTTATATTACTTACTGAACACAACGGAACAATAGACAATGTAAATTCATCTCATTAAAGTACTTATTTGATTTCTTCATAAGTTTATAAAGTGCCGTGATTTGTGTATGTTTATTATAAAGAGTGCACAGCGAAATCAGCCCAGTTTCCTCTTGTTTCTGTTATCAAATTTAATCCTCGTTTTTTCATCATTATCGTTATTTATTTATTCATTGTGTTTATTACTTTTTTTCTAGTTTTTTTTTCAAATAGTGGTTAAATGTTATGATATTGTATCGCTATTGTGTAGACGATACGGGTTTTTTATTGTGTAGAAAATACGTGTTTTACAAATAAAAAACTGTCGCTTATTCGTCTTTTATATGAACTTTCTTGAATAAGTATTATAGTCAACCCGGATATACTCTATAAGATGTTTGAATTCTGACCTACATTTTTCTTGCATGTATGTGAGAGACACACATTCCTACGTGGTTCACTTGTGACACACATGCCGTTCCAATCCCAACCAATCA